AGGGAATAATTGCTATGGAAGCAAATGGAGCTGTGCTCAAGAGTACAAGAGAGTACAACACTGGTTGGACCTAGTTATCATATCTGCATACTAATCCATCAATCCATCAAGTTTGCTTTATGCCAACATTCAGCTCAGCTTGTATTCCAACACTGTGGATTTACCCAATAAATCCACCAAATACTTCAAGGTATTTGACTTACCGAAAATACCAATGGACTGCAGCAGTGACTAGGGAGCATACAATTTTGCGGTCCATCATCAATTTTTTATATCATGCACTATTTCCATTCTGGGATGGAGTAGGGAGCACATCCCGTCCACAGTACATGACCGAATCTCGAAATATGGCCATTCTTGTGTTTTGGAATCTATGTAGGGCTCGCATTCAGTCCGCGGTACATGACCGAATCTCGAAATATGGCCATTCTTGTCATTTAGAATCTTGTAGGGCTCGCATTCAGTCTGCGGTACATGACCGAATCTCGAAATATGGCCATTCTTGCCATTTAGAATCTTGTAGGGCTCGCATTCAGTCTGCAGTACATGACCGAATCTCGAAATATGGCCATTCTTGTGTTTTGGAATCTATGTAGGGCTCGCATTCAGTCCGTGGTACATGACCGAATCTCTAATTATGGCCATTCTTGTCATTTAGCAACTGTGTAGGTAGCGTGTACAGTCTGCGGTACATGACCGAATTTCGAAATATGGCCATTCTTGTGTTTTGGAATCTACGTAGGGCTCGCATTCAGTCCGCGGTACATGACCGAATCTCGAAATATGGCCATTCTTGTCATTTAGAAACAGAGTAGGGCTCGCATCCGCTCCGCGGTAAATCACCAATTTTCACATGGAGAGCAGAATACAGCCCTCATTAAGAAATCTTGGGTACAAAATAACATTCAGTATGCTACAGATTTATTTTACATTTTGGGAATCAATGTACACTAGGTATAGCAACGACTATAGTATGGTATGGAAGTCTACATTGTCAAGATATGTGGTCGGCAAGTATGCTACAAGAATATAACAATGCTAAGTACAAAAGAACGTGGCGATTATCAAGAAGAAATCAACAGCTATGGTTGTGTCATCAAAAGAAAGTGTTCTGTGCTCCTGCGAAACATCAGAGGTAATTTGGTTCTGTAGAATGACGAAACTCACGTTACAGCATCTCATCTCCCAGCCAGTGGAGTTTGTACTGGGTAGTTGTTCTTCCAGTGTGGTCCTCCCATTGCGTTTGCCCACAGGGCGAATGGTCGCCAGTACTGCTGACCGTGCAGTGGATCGCCCACACCCTAATTCCTGAACTCGCGCCCCGGATCGTCCGATGAAGGTCAGACCCGTGATCCAACTCCCTGATCTAAAATTAATAAGATCATGACAGGTGCATACGGCACTTACAGAAGTAGCCAGTCCATCGGCATATACCCCAACTGCACTCTGACATCCTGCTCTTGCGCCCTTACACATTCCACCAGATCCGACTTGAACGTCGCCAATTGCACGTTGCTTTGTCTCTGAGCGACGCTCCAGTTCATCCAAAGGTCGATCTTCATGGTGTGGATTTAGTGTCGAGGTCAGAGATTGTGATCGGCTGGCGGAGACGGAAGACGCGTGGATCGCGCCAGAGGGCGGGAATAGATGTTGAGCGCAAGGGGCGGGGGAGCGAATGCGGAAGTAGAGAATCACGATCAAACGATATTAAGTGCCCGCGGCATGTTGACGTTGATGCCGCCGGCTATCAATTGATGATGAAATCGATCGATCAGATAAAAGATAATTGAGTGGCTGTGTGATATGATTGAACATTCAGCAGGGTGCATGGCACAACAGCCAAAAAGTAATTTGTGCAACCAAAGCTATAATTGCATTAAATATATGGTAGTAAAATTCAGTTTCCCCTGATCTATTGAGGCATACAATTATTTTTTTGAATACGTTCCACATTGATAATCACTGAACATGTCTGAATCTTTTCCCTGAATATTTTTTCAAAAAACTGCGGTAACTGCAGTCATTGATTGATCGGGTTCCTGGAAAAGAAGAAGCTGGATAAGGAGGTACATATACCCAAGTATGGTTAATTACGCTTCTTATCGAATATGTTTCCAGACGTCTCGATATTGATCTTTGACGTTGATGCATCTAGAATCGAAGAAAAAAAAATTTAACCTCTATGAGGTAAACCCCGCCATCAGCATCGAGCTTCATATGCCACAGCGCCATATATATAGGGCATGGGTGTCGCATATATTTTATTCTTTCTTTCCCCCCATAAAAAAGTTGATTCTCACTCTGCCATTCAGCACCACTGCTCATCTTCAAAATGCCTCGCATTGTACAGAAATCTCGCGCTCTATTTGCTGCCATTTTTGCCTCATATCCTGACCTGTTCGATGAGGAAGCGTGGCAGCAGCAATTTGGATTCCCCGGGTTTGACGTGGATCACATCTCGAATGTAAAAAATGAAGAGCTCCCTGCAGTCTGCGAGTTTCTGAAGCACGTCGGAAATCTCCCCTTGGACGAGGCTATAACTTGCGTCAATACGAAGGGTGCCGATGTGTTTCTCCAAGGCCGTACCACATACCACCACTGGTGGTCGAAATCGCGCATGGTGTCGAAGCTCAGAATCACGCACAACCATGCTATTCTCTGTGCTGGTATCAACATCAAGGCAATGTATCAGGTAGCTGCGAAGAAAGGGAATGCAAAATTCGTCACGCTTATGATGTTTGGATCAAAGGAGGCAGAAATTGCAGAAAGCATGTTTGGCAGAGCATTTGAGGATAACGAGTCAGGTTGTATGCGAGAGGAGTTCCAGCAACTCATCCACTCATTGATATTGGACTACATTGAATGTCAGTGGAAGAATCACCGCCAGGCAGAAACATGCAGACTTGAGGCGAAGGGGGAACTCGATGCCATGTGGAAATGTGTGTACTCTTTATATCTATTTTGTTTCCTACTAACTTTGTCAGTGTTTGAATCTGGCAATGGCCAAATCAACCTGAAAGATGCAAAGAAGATCTTGAATGCTCTCGAGAAATATGAAAAGTACATTGGTTGGGAGGCAACGGAGCAGGATAAGGCTGCATTGGCAGAATATGAGCAGAGGAAGGGCGAGTTTGAACAGGCGCTTTCGAAGGCAGAAGCTCAGGAGGAGGAGTTGAAGAAAAACAAAAAGAGTTCACAGTGTAAGTCCCTCATTTTATGCAGTGCTCTGCATATCTGACATATGTTGCAGACATCCTTGGACGTATGATGAATTGAAGAATCGCTGTTATGGCCACTGAAGAGGAAATAGCAGTGCTCCATGAGGACCTTGCTTCTCAGCTCGAGAGCATTGAAAGCACACGCAATAGGGAGGAGGCCGAACAACATGACATCGACATCAATCCGGGCCTTCCTTCGCACCCCGGTCTTATTGGGTGGGAGAAATGGAAGGAATGTGGGGACCTGGGGGTAGAGTCTTGGTCAAAAACTACTGATAAGGTGCTTGCCGAAATGCTTCGATGGGACAATGGCCGTCCCGATGAATTTAACCCATTCATTAACACTTCCCTCACCGATTACTGGGAAAACCCTGACTATGCCGCCAAGATTCCTCCTGGCGGTGATGAAGACAATGAGGTGACGAACATCATGTGGCATCAAATTGTTGGTATAACAGCAATGGTGAACATGCTATGGATGACAAAATTGGATGATGATGGTGTCCCAGGAATCCTCCTTGCCGATGAGGTGGGTCTGGGCAAGACTGCCCAAATGATGGGATTGCTGGCATTTATAATGTCATGCTATCGGGCACAGAAGCTCGGCAAGGAACTGCCTCCAGTGCTCGGTGAGTACGGCCCAAGTAGGGAGCCCCCTCGTTTCGTGGTCCCATACATCCAGTATTAACTACAATATTCCAGCACAATTGCCATATTTCTGTGGTCGTAAACAGATTCCTGATGCGCCGCATCTCATTTTGGTCCCTGGGACCATTATAGAGCAGATCGTGGGCGAGTTGAAGCGGTGGTTCCGTCCTCATGTCATCGACATTTTTGTAATGCCGATGATGGAGCGGAGATGGGACGAGTTCAACAAGGCTGTTGATTCATCGAAGCAGGACAAATGCAACATTGTGATCGTTGCAAGCCATAGTGTAAGCATTGGGTTATTCACTCCGGTTTAGCTCACTGATAATGAATTTCAAATGGGTTTCAGAGCGTCAGTCAATTAGCACATCGCAATTTGTGGATCACAAAGTCTAAGACTGAATTGGTGTCTTCTCTGCGTCCTGCTAAGACAAATTCATTGGGTTATGAGCCGATATGGTCAAGGAGTTTCTGCAGTGTCATCGTCGATGAAGCACACAACTTCCGGACACCAAATGCTGCCTACCATGGCATGAATCGAATTATGGAAAATACCTGCATGCGCCTAATTGTGTCGGCAACTCCACTGTACCAGTCACCTCGTGTATGCCTTTTTTGTGGTTTTCATTCTGATTCTGATTCTTGCTTCTTTCTCATTATAATATCAGGACCTATGCAACCTCGCAAGACTTATTCGTTTGAAGGCATTCATAGGTAAGGCAGCTGAATCGCTCGAGAAGGAGAAAGTCAGAGAGCTGTCAAAGATGCAGAGGGATGTCACCAAGGGCAACAATAGCGATGATGATGCTCTCGCAGTGTTCAACACGAATGCCTTGAAGGGCGTTGATGGTAGAAATCCATACAAAAGGGTGTACGATGCTAACAATGACTGGGTCATTGACATTCAGGCTCGCTATGAAGGACGTATCATTCGACGGGCAGTAACATCAATCAAGTACACTGACCCCCCAGCTGACAAGCCTATCATGCTGTTGAATGAACTCCCACCATACGAAAAGATTGAAGTGATGGTAAGCATGGCAGATGCTGAGAAACGGGAGATGGACAACCAGATGTCGAAGTGGAGCAGCGAGTGAGTACAGAAAAAAATTGTACCGGGATCATGGATCTGATGCACTCTTCTTCTAGTTCAAAGGCACATGGAGCTGTTGATGTCACGGATGCCGGGGTAAGTTATTGTGTGATCACAGGGAGCCCTTCCGCTTCACGGTACATTACAATTTTGCCATTTTGCTCATTTTTCTCTTAGGCATTTTTGCTCAATTACCGGCTTGCCGTAGCATATCCGCAATCTCAACCCGATCCTGACTATCTGTCGAAATCCGGCAAGAAAAAGTTTCCACCATTCAAAAGTCTTGAAGAGTGGGAAAAGTATCCAGGAGCAAAGCTCGAGGCGACGTTGAGATTGTGCAAGCACTATTTGTCTGATGACAATGCATCTCCACCATATATTGAAGATGGTCACCTCATTTTCCCTGATCCTCCTGCAATGGCAACCGGCGATAAGAAGAAGAGGACTCAGCAGATAAAGATCCTTATCTTTCATGAGTTCCCTATGATGGATGAACTCATCATGTCGGTATGTAATTTGAATCTTTCTTCTTATTATTTGCATACTCATTTTGTTCAGGCCTTCATTATGAATGGCATTAAAATATTGTCACTGAATGGCTCCATGAGGCTCACGGCACGTCAACAGGTGGTTGAGAAATTCCTTCATCCCGATTCAGATGTTCATGTGCTTCTCCTCAGCCAGGTAGGTAGCTCTGGGCTTAACCTGATGAGAGCTTCTGTTGTCATCCTCTTCGTAAGTTTCAGCATCATTGCTAGTTGACATTCACTGACTGAGATCCCACAGGATATTGGTTGGACTGCCATTCAAGAAGAACAGATGATTGGTCGTGCCCATCGTCATGGGCAAAAGGAAACCGTTTACGTCTTTTGCCTTATTGCAACAGACACTATTGACGTCTTGATGGCTCAACACTCTGGTTCAAAAGCCCAGCAGCTTCAGCATTTCTTCAAGAAGCCTGATTTTAATGTCTGTCGAAACAGGAGTAAGTCCCTTTTACTTTTGGATAATGATGGTTTATTCATATTTTTGCAGAGGCATTCTGGCTGCTGTACAATTGTGATGTACCAGCAGATGCTCCTGCTGCAGCTGATGGAGAAAGCGATAACAATGATGACCAGAGCACCCAGGAAAGTGCCGTTGAACAGCCTCCTGCAAAAAAACGCAAGACGAATAGCAAGAAAACGGCAAAAACAAAGGAAGTAGATGTCATCGATGAATCCCGCCATCGTCGTAAAGTGCCAAAGAAGGTGCCAGAGGATGGAAACAGGGAGGGAGCTCCTGCCACCAAGGTACAGATGATGATGCAGAGAGGATCCGTAGATGAGGCTGGACCGTCAAAGGCTGGACCATTGAATACCCAGTCAAAGCCCAAGCCCAAGCCCAAGCCTATCACAAAGCCAGCACCGAGCGCACCACAGAATGCCATCAAGGAGGGTAATGCACAAACTGCTCAATGTGAATCTCAGCCCTCGGCCCCCTCCGCTCCATCATCCCCTCTTCCTCATCCTGTCATCCCTTCCTCCACCCCTGCAGTTATACCACCACCAGTGTGTGGAATGACTGCCATCACTGCCCCCTCCAGTGATATTATCTCGACACCAGATGCTAATGAACCAATTAGCAATGATGAGATAGAAAGCTATGGGGGCACTGCTAGCGGTGGTGCTTCACAACCTCTCGATGATCTCCTTGACTTTGATGACCTAACTCCTCTGTCTTCCAATGCCCCCTCCTCTCCATTGACACCAACCCCATTGCCTGGCAGGAAGAAGTCCATTTCAACTGCACCAACAGGTAAGTTGAATACTCAGTCAGGAATTCCAGAGTCATCACAGAAAAGAGGAATGAGAGGAATGTCAAGGACACGATCTCAAGCAGCCAGGTCAAAGGATACTGCTAATGCAGCTCCACAGACTCCACAGGCGAACTTCGTGATTGAACAGAATGGATCCTTCAGGCCAAATATGCAAGAACCGGCATGGAGGTGTTGAGGTCGTTTGTGGGTGGCTTTCTTGACATTGCTTCATTGGCAGTTCAATGCATTTTTTCAAGAACAATTTTATATAGTTTCATATTGCAGTTAGTATGACACATTTTTGTAATGTATACATTTCATGTCACTAAATATACAAGTGACAATTGGTGAAAATATCCTGGAACTGAAAAGGATGGGTCCTCTGCACTTCATGGTCCCATACAATTTTTTTTGCATTACAAAGAATTTGACATGACAAGAAATTGTGCTGTCAATGTCATGTCCAGCTGAATGTCTTCAGAAAAATAGAGAAATTTTTCATGTGGCACTCTGCTTTGTTAGTATAAGTAGATGCAAACAGCGATATCACCCACCTACTTTTCCTCTTTAGCATGAACTCTGACCAGGATGATGACAGTTTCTTTCAGGGATTGGAACATACAAGTAGCTTGTTCACTGACAACGAAGACCAGGAAGAAGCAGGAGGAGCAGAAGAAGCAGGAGCAGAAGAAGCAGGAGCAGAAGAAGAAGAAGAGGATGAGTACAATGATGAGGATCAACATCATGATGGTATGCATATCACTGGAAAGTAGCCATTGGTCTAATCAGGCATCTAGTATCCTGGACACCTCCTTCTGTTGGTGCCATTAGACACCAGAGATCTCATCAAAGCAGGCGCCCCGAGTCCACCCATATTCACGATCATCATCGATGACATCATCGACATCTAGAACAGAGGGACGAAGAGGATGATGCTCATGGGTCATCCCATCGAAGCCGGCGCCCCAAAATCACTGCTAGTGATGAGGAGGATCGTCATCGGAGACGTCGTCACCATCCAGAACAGAGGGATGAAGAGGATGAGGCTCATCAGTCATCCCATCGAAGCACCCCCGGGCCAGCCTCTAGTGACGAGGATGATGGACCTCTGCACCATCGACAAGGAGAAATCAGACATGGAGAATGGGATCTGGATGATGATGTTGATGGGAATAACATTCGCATTCAGGATGTCCACACATCAAGAGATGTCACATTGGGGGAGTTCGTTCAAGAATGTAGTCAACTATGGATGGATCAGAATGTTTCAACAAGGAGCATCGCACGTTGTGGAAAGTATCTCTGCTATGTATTATGTGGGGAATATGGCGAGGATCATTACATCAATCTCACCATGGCTGGAGCTGACCTACCAGAACCAAAAGTGACATTGATGAGAGACTATGATTCAGTCATTGCAATCTGTGATCGTGTTCCAGATCTGGGAATGCCGATTGAGTTTGCTACTACATATCAGCCAATGATGTCAATGCAAGGTGGTATTAATATCCAAGCACCTTTCAAAATTGTCAATCCACAGAATGGCGAGGTAACATTTATCATCTAAATGTCAAAGTCTATGCTAAAGCTGATCATATGTAGCTCACAACAAATCCCATGGATCCAGGATGTCTTCCAAATGTCTTCCTCGCCAAAGTCACCCATCATGCATCGTTATATATCCTGCTACCGAATTTGGTTCGAAATCTCAAACAGCATGAGGGAACCCCTTCAGTTTCCATCCAGGAGTATGCTGTGCTCTATGAAATATTCATCCAATCAGC